GGGACGGGGGCAGCCAGGGTTCGCAAGCCACAGGTGGAACCCCAGTGGGCCACAGGTTGCCCACCACTGATTTAGAGGATGTTTCCAGGAAGTGCCGATTTGTGTTGGGGTGGGGAGGAGAGAATATCAATGCATTTATTGGCTTAGTTGCCATTTTGTGAGCTTTGCTAAACTGGTTTTCAGTCCCCCTTTCATTTGCAAAGTGCGGTTTTCTAAGATGTGTGAAGATTAGAAAGAACTTATTGAAAATGAAAAAAAAAGTATTAGTTAAAGCTAGAAAATTGCAGACAGCTTATGCCACTTATAAAGAGTGAGCTGTTCCGCAAGAAAAAAAGACCCTTTAATGCCATTATCTGTAACTTTAAGATTTCTAATCTAGTTACTTATAACCACTCTTCTTTGGAGCATCTGAGCTCCAAATCAACAATGACAAACAACCTGCCAAGCAATTTGAAATTTCTCTCCCTTCTTTCATACAGGAGAGCGAATTCAAATAGTTGACATCTGACAGCGATTTGAGGCTTTCTTTGAAATAAGCCATTGATCTCTCTCCCCTTGCTAGTGAACAGGTGTCTGCACTTGCTAAATTACCATTACAAGTGGCACTCACGGTTGTAGCCCCAATGAGGAGACACGTGATTAAATGGGCAGCAAACTGAAGTGCCCTCTCTGCAAATGCGCAGTGCTCTGCTACGGGTGGGGACACTGGTTGTGAAAGTGCTCGTGTGTGTTCTCTGTATTGTGACTTTTCGGTGGTTAAATAGAGGGCCTTAGTCTCTAAGCTTGTCACTCCAGAACCTTTCATGAGCCACTAAATTCACATTAAGAAAAAGTTCAGTGACTCTAGCACCCTTGAGAGAGGCTGATAGTGGTACTAAATGTCATAAGCCTGTGAGAAAAATGGGGCTTTTCGACTACCTGAATTCAAGTTATTCTACAGTTCACCAATGCAGGGGAGGCTCGAGGAATGAAGCTAGAAAGAACATATTTTAATGACTTTCGGTATGATAACTACACCTTGCTAAAAAATTATCCTATCATAGAAGAGTTTCATTGCTTAGGAGACTTAAACCCTGTGGTGAGAGACAGAGAGAGAATTTGTGTAATGCTTCCTATATGCTGTTTGTTGCCAGTTTTTTGATGTGGGCAGGAAAAGGCTGACCTGACCAAAATAAATCATCATATATAAGCTGTATCAGTGCTTTACGCCACGCTCGTTAGGCTGCATTTTAATACCCAAATGACATTAGTAGTTACAGAGGGAAATTTCATCAAGCTTTCTTTGGTTTACAGCTTTTGAGAAGAGGATCTTTTGTGTCATTTTTGTCTTATATCACACTGTGGTAAAATCTGAGTGTTCAATTCATATATCTGTTTTGCAGGTAGGGCTGGTAGGTCCTGCTTGTTGTAAAAGTAGCCTGTGACTTCCTATTATTAGCCCCTCGTTTCAATTGCTTATAATTTTGCTAAATCTTAGCCATTTGGTTTGAAGCTTTATGTGACTGGTGCCTGCCTTGGCAATCTATGTAATTTTTAGCCAACATGGTCCAGACATTTATATGAATAAAACAAGGACAACAATATAGTTTTGTTTTTTTAAAAAGGGTGACCTTCTTTTTGAACAGGTCTCATGCCCCGCACTTTGAATTAGGGACTTGGAATCTGGCAGAGGGTGGACAGAGATACAGACATTTGGCTATCTCCTTGAAAACCTCCCCAAATTTGGCCAATTATAAGCCTTTGAAAATTGCAGTTTGAAGAGGCTCCATAGCAACTTCTTCGATTTTAGCAGCTCAATCTCCAAGCAGTCTGCCCTCCCTGTAATCGCAGCTCTCAGGCCTTGTCTACGCTTACCAGGAGACTGACGCCGCAAAGATCGATCTCCCAGGGGTCGATTTAGTGGGTCTAGCCAAGGGACAAGTACCAGAAGAGCGAGGAGCTAGTTTCTCCTGTGGTCGCAAGACTCCCCCTGCTGGCACTCGGGCAGCGTGCAGGGGGAAGCCACTTGATTTGGACGGAGGGGAGGGGGACAAAAGCCAGACTAGGGGAAGAGAAAAGAGTAGAGAGGGAAAGGTGGAGAATCTGGGGGAGAGGAACTGGCAAGGGTAACAGGCTGGGCCTGGTTGAGCAACGGGACTGGTGAAGGGAAGGCTTACTTTGCCTAGAAACACACCGACTATAGGTCTCATGCATTGTGCTTCGTTGTCCCCTTATGGTGAGTTGTTCTCTCGTATTTAGTGAACAAGCTGTAGAGAAATGTCGTTTGTATACAGAGTTCTAACTGGTCACTGTCTCCCAAGTTGTTTGGGAAACAGGTTTTGCAATGTAAAATGTTTGCCTGGATCGCATTTATTATCTTCAGTAGTAGAAAGCAGAACTATTTAATTCACCTAACTCATTTCTTTTTCCTGAGGAAAAAGCTCTAGAAGCCAACATTTCTGCTCTGAAATATTTGAACTGTTTTCCTAATTGTTTCATTGCCTCAAAGTCTCTAACATGCTAATCAACAGTGTCCTGTAGAACTGAACGTCTGAGGAGTTTTTTTATACAGCATAGTTATGAACTCCTGCCTCAGGGCTTGAACGTTCCTCCTTGGTAGAGGTAAAAAGGAAACTTTCCCAGGCAAGTTTTATCGGTATTTAATACAAGCTTTGATTTAAATATATTTCTGTCATTAGGTGTGATGATAGCCTTGCAAGCATAAACCAACCGTTGGCCTTCTGTTACTTGTGTGTTTGTCACAAGATGCTTGTTTTAAGCACATGGAATTCATGTTTTTACCTGCTGTGTTTATAGGCCATTTTTTGTAAGCGTATATAGTTCCCAGAATATACTTACTTTACACCAATTCCATGTACCATCTGGCTAGGTGATGCATTCTCTTGTAGCTGACTAGATTGTTTCTCATTACTTACTTTGCCTCCCAATTAATGGCTGTTCTCTGACACTTTGATACGTTTGCTCCTTTTGCTGCCAACAGTCATACCACTTATTTAAATATATAGCACAGCTTATTTTGACTTGAGACACTAACTGCAGTCAAATGCCAAACTTCTGTAGCCAGCAGCCACATGGCTCCATGTAGAAGAATAGGACCGGCTCTCAGAATTAGACGCACCTGATACATTCTTGTCATCTCCTTCCTGCTTTTAGGTATTTGTGGCTTGCGTCTCTTGCCCCTTGCCGCTTTTGGCTTGCTTTGGATTTTAATTTTTCACATTTTGTGATCTTAAGAGTTAAAGGTTGACTTACGCAGTGCTTTGGGCACTATTCAACATACCATGCCAAATTAGCTGGGTTCCCATGGTGCAGCTGGTGAGCTCATTCAGGGTACCACAAGTTAGCAATTTAGACTGCATTGTGAATTATCATAATTTATGCAAGATCACCATATATTTTAGCTGGTAGCACATTAAGGACCGATACTCCTTCCTGATCATGTAATATCCGCGCTATAACAAATGCCACTGCTTTCCTGAGATTACAATGTTAACACTGTTACTTATTATTTGCTTAATGTTCATGCCCAGCTGAATATCTCCATTTTGCTAAGCAGACAGATACATGGAAAGACACAATCCCTGCTCCAGAGAGCTAAGCAGATTTCTAACTTAGTCCTTTCACTTACTTTTAGTGATTTCTTTTCACCACTCATATATGGCTATCTGATAGATCACTTGCACGTTTTTGTAGTTATAGTGGTACTTTTTATTTATCTGGTTTTTGCCTTGATAGAATATATGAGCTCTAGTAGATGCAAAAAGAAAAGTACATCATCAAACAGGAACACAATTAAACCGATAAAAGTAATTTACTGATAAAATAGTTCTAGAACCAACTTCTGATCTATTTTAAACGGAATTTTCAATATATTTCAAGGCTCTATTTAGAATTTAGGTTTAGTTTATTGAGCGTCTGGTGTTTATAGAAAAGTATAATCAAAACTCGTGTCCAGACTGCAACTGTGCACCACAGGAGTCTGGATTTCCTGGAAAACACAACGGAATAAGTAAAAATATTTTCTCCTTCCTCTGAAGCTTCAAGTTTGGTCACTTTTCCTCTCTCATAATAATTTCTCATCTCTTTGCCTGAATACCTTACCCTTAACTTAGGCACATATTCTCCATTTAAAAAGAGAGTTCATGTTCTTGTGTAGTGACTGATCTTTGTTTCTTTTGTTTGTTCCTCATCTTGGTGCTCAAAGGGCCAATTATTTTCTTTTTAAAAAATCACTTCGTTTGCTGTCTGCTGTCAAGGAACCATCTAGTTAGTTAAGATCTTTAACTTAGAATGCTTATTTTATTTCATCGTGTCATCTCTGGTTTTATTGTCTGTAGACCTGGGGGTTACAGTGGATGAGAAGCTAGATATGAGTCAACAGTGTGCCCTTGTAGCCAAGAAAGCTAATGGCATATTAGGTTGAATTAAGAGGAGCATTGCCAGCAGATCCAGAGATGTCATCATTCCCCTTTATTCGGCTTTGGTGAGGCCGCATCTGGAGTATTGTGTCCAGTTCTGGGCTCCCCACTACAAAAAGGATGTGGACGCATTGGAGAGGGTCCAGCGGAGGGCAACCAAAATGATTAGGGGGCTGGAGCATATGACTTATGAGGAGAGGCTGAGGGACTTGGGTCTGTTTAGTCTGCAGAAGTGAAGAGTGAGGGGGGATTTGATAGCAGCCTTCAACTTCCTGAAGGGAGGTTCCAAAGAGGATGGAGAGAGGCTGTTCTCAGTAGTGACAGATGGCAGAACAAGGAGCAATGGTCTTAAGTTGTGGTGGGAGAGGTCCAGGTTGGATATTAGGAAAAACTATTTCACTAGGAGGGTGGTGAAGCACTGGAATGGGTTACCTAGGGAAGTAGTGGAGTCTCCATCCCTAGAGATGTTTAAGTCTCGGCTTGACAAAGTCCTGGCCGGGTTGATTTAGTTGGAATTGGTCCTGCCTAGAGCAGGGGGCTGGACTTTATGACCTTCTGAGGTCTCTTCCAGTTCTATGATTCTATGACCATATAATTCTTTCAGTCTTCTCTTACACCAAGTTCTTTGTACTTTTTTACGCATTCATTTTACCTTATATGCAGTTCATCTTGGCTTAGCCATGTTGCATCCTTCTATCTTTTTTGATTCCTAGATTTTACCTAGTTGAATTTGCGCTACTGCCATTTTAATGCTTCTTTAAACATGTTCTACTTTTCTGTCTTAGTTTATTCCAGACTTTAATATCATGAGCTTATTCTGTATCTTTTGAAAGCTGTAAGCCCAGTCCTCTTGAGGTGCTGCCTTTTATGTATGCTTCAGTGAACTAGCCTTCTTCATTTTATATTGTTGATTGCTAGATTCTTTTTCTCAGCCTCTACTCTTTTTGAATATGCCTGCCTACTTTCTAGGACTAAAACCAGAATAGCCTTTGATCTTTATTGGTGTTGATCAAAATGTGCAACTAAGACTGTGCATTCTACCATCGAAATCAAATGAAATTGGAGCGATGGCCACTTCAACCAGCTGATGACCTCGTTCCATGATTGTTCAAGATGTTACAAACAATTTAGTGAGGTCTGAGCACAGCCCTGAAAGGAGTTTGAATCTTTATTCCAGCTCTGATGTTGATTTAAGCAATATCCTGTTTTGAAGGATGCTATGGTCAAATCTGCTTATCATCAGGAACTAACACTGAAGTTCTAGTTTGAAGCATACTTACCCTCCAGCACAGTTCTCTTGCTTCTTTCCAAGGCCCCTTTGAAGAGCCCTCTCCTATATTCATGGCCAAGCTCTTGTTCTTTCCTAGCCCGCATGTCCGCTCGTCCCCAATGAGGGAGACAGTGTGGCTTCTATCAGCAGAAAGGTGCCCAAACACACTGTAGGCAGGAGCACCAAGCAGGTTTTTTCTCCCTGGTGCTGTGTACACTATGGATTTCTCTTCATTCCGTCCTCGGAAAAATCTACAGGTTGAACCTCTCTAACCTGGCACTCTCTGGTCTGGCAACATCAGTGGTTGGCATGATTTTAGAACTTATCATGGGTGTGGCCAAGTTTCCCGTGGTTCCATAAAATTTGTTTACAGCCACCTGTCCTGGCTCTCAGTGTTCGGTGCTGTTATTTAGCTCCAATGTATCCCTAAATGGCATCTAAGAGACTAGTAAGAAGTGGAAGTGTTGGTAATGCTGCTAGGTCCGGTAAATTCTCTGGTTCAACACCGGTCAGGTCCCAAGAGTGCTGGACTAGAGAGGTTCAACCTGTAATCCCTACAGCACATCCATTTAGCCATTTTGCTAAGGGATAATCTGGCAGCCTCAGTTTCTCCCTTTGTAAAATCAAGCTGACGCACGCTTCACAAATTAGGTGCAGCATAGCATGCATTCATTGGGTGAATTATAGATGAAAAGTGCTTTATGTACATATGTATCTGTTGGACTACAAGCTCTTTGACAGAGAAGCACTGTACAGTCCTTTGTTTGAAAAGTACCTAATTTGGGACACTGCTGCAGCATAAATATTACACAAATAATGAACAAGAGATGCTGAGTGTTAGCAGGATTGAATACTTGCCTCTTAATCCTGATATCATTCCTAATTTGAAAGTAGTTCACATTGTTATGGATTTTAATATCAACCGCCCCAATTAAGATTCTATTCCCACTACGATGAGTGATGTACAAAAGTTTAGGTGGGTGCTGTCCCTACATTGCTGAAGTGTTGATCATCTGAAAAAGGAGTTAGTCAGTCACCTTATTGGCCTCAGTATCTTCCATATCAATTATCTCTTGTTTACAAATCAGTCCTTCAATGTCGCACAGGAATCTGAAATCAAGATGTTCTTTCTGCTGCTTCTGTCATTCTTACTTTTGATTTTGCAGCTGGAACTTAGTCGATCATTTTGTTGCTAAAGCAGGAGCGAGCACAAAATTCATCTTGTTCTTCTGTGATGGTTTTGATTCTACACAGCTTTTGTCAGTGTAGTAACTCGGACTCAGGGCAAATAGATATGTTGTGCAAGGAGGTAATTTTCATACTAGTCTTCTAGCCGCTGCAACTCTTAAACCACAGTGCCTGGACTATAATAGCAGTTTTTCTCATTTTATTTCTCAGTCTTTGGATGGCACACACGTGAACTTCAGCTGGTATCTGCATTAAGCCCATTCCACTCACATGGACTGCAGATGCATGTTCCTGATGCCCTCATCAAAAAGAATAAGAGGAGTAATTCTATTGGGCAACACTTGCCCTGGGTCAATCACGAGAGATTTGAAGCAGCTTCTCCCACTTTGTTTTGCACCTGTCTGCAGTATGCAGCTTCTAGGCATTATTCCAGACATTTGGGAGCACCACACTTCATGTTCCTGGGATAGGTGTGTTTTTGTTGTAAAAGATGAGCGCAGAATGTGGTCCGTGCCTTTAGGATCTCAATGGCTGCATTTTGGCGGATGTAATATTTACTACTAGCTGCTATTCCATGCGCAAGAGGAATGTTTCAGTACAGGATGTTATCTCAACTAAGCCTAATCAGTTCTGCTTTTAAACTGTGGAGGGGAGAGAGTTAGATGGTGCCGGGGATTCTTGGGGCAGGGCCCACACCATCAGGTAGGAATGACTGTCCCTGCCCTTTCTAATGAGTTATCAAAACAAAATGCAGACCTGAAAGTTGGGGGACGTTCTTGAATTTCGTATTATTTTAACAGTTTTAGTTACACATTCTTTATTCACCTTTCACGTCCCACCATCCCTATAGTATCTATTTTACTTTCTCATTCTCTGTTTTCCTCTCTGCTCTTTAGGGCTCTCCATTTCTTTCTGCGGTGTCACTCCTTTCAAAGCTGGCTCTAAGCCTTGGAAGCATTTTTCCCTTCCTGACATCCTTTTATAAAACTCAGTTCTTCCAGGAAACTTTACATTAGACTCCTTGGAAATTCCTTATCCAAGCCATCTTCTTTTGAATTATTGTCCCATGTATTGTGTTTGTGTCACGTTCCAAAAAATAGGGACTACATCTTTTGTATTTGCAAAGGGCTATGTATGGTCACAACCGCCCATAGACAGCACTCCAGTGAAGTTATCCACTATCTCAAAACACTTGTGAAAATCTGTATTTCTCCACTTTCACAGAACTCTTACCCTCCGCTCTCTTTCTCCAACCCCAGTTGAGTCATTTTCCCATACCTATATGACCTTCCCATTAAAGTTTTGACAAGATTACAGTTTTCTCCAATGCGTAGAATAGAAATGTCTTTTTGCACCATGATGTCCGACTGTATCTTCCATAGAAGGAGCGACACTGTAGGCATTTTACAGAGGTCAGAGTTTGTCCTGCTACTGTATTAAGCCAATAGCAGAACTTCCACTGACTTCACTAAGAGCGGGATCAAATCCAGAATTGTGCTGATCAAGAAGAAACTGGAACTGTTATTCACAATCTTATGTTCTTGGATAGCATCCTCCAAATTGTCAGGTAACACTCAGTATTCTGATATTCCCTCTGCTTCCTTTTCTCCAGATGCCACGGAATTGTCTAACAGATTTAGTTTCTGTTCTGATAAAATGATTAATGATGAGAGCTGTTGATTTTTCCGCAGAATATGATATCAGAAAAGGTTTGTTTGTATTTAAAAAACAAACAACTAAAACAAACACACACACACATAGCAATCGCTCTGTAGAAATAACAGAACTGAAGCCTTAGGAAAATGCTTTTTTCCCTTCCCCTCGACTCTCCCTGCCCCATCCTGCCCACCCGATTTTGCTTCCAAAGATCAAAATCTACCCATGATAATAACTTGTAACTAGTAGTCTTGGATAAGCAAAACACCTTTTTCATTCTCTATGGGTATGTCTACACTAGCCCCCTAGTTCGAACTAGGGAGTCTAATGAAGGTGAACAAAATTGCCAATGAAGCACGGGATTAAAATATCCCGCGCTTGATTATCATATTCCCAGCCACTCGCCATTTTGGAAACTGACGAGCCCGAAGTAAGTGCCCGCGTCTACACTCAGACTCTTTCAAATTTCTGTGTTTTCCTAATCCTGATTCTGAAATATTCACAGGCATATGGGGGAAGATCCACGCTGCAGTTCAGTGCAAGACTGCCAAACTGTTTTACTGTGTGGCCTTCGTTCTGTGCTGTCTTGTATGTACTTGCTCTCTTATGCCACCACCCCCTTCCTTCATCTGCATCTCGCAGGCCCATTCACCCTTTCAGTGGTTGAGATATTATGTCAATTAAAGGGGAGGGAGGGTTAACAGAACTGCCTGGGGAATTGATTCTCGCCCACCTTACTGAGAGGTCTATGTGCACAGCAGAACATGATATTATTGTATACAATATCCAGTTCAGATCCAACTCCGCAGCTTCCTAAGGAAGAGCTGGACTGGAAAATAAATAAATAACGGGACTTCTTTGCAGACTAGGGGGAGTGAATGGACTGGAGCTAAATTTGGAACACTAAAGCTTGGTCTCCAGATGCATGCTGTGCTACACATACATAATATCCTTAGTCGGCTTTTCCACGTGAGACTGTTGAATCCAGTGCAGCTGTTATTTATAGATGGTAGGGGTAGTGATGGCAGCCTTTTAGCACTGTGCAGGACTGAAATTACAGTATTCTTCTGTAGTGATTCAGGGCTGGGTGCTCTCCACAAGAATTCAGATCGATGGCTCGTTTTGTAAATGTTCCAATTATGAGATGATTGCCGAATAGCCTTCCCCCCCCCCTTTTTTTAATAACGGATATTGTAAAACATTAGAACAGGCTGTGATTGTTGCTGGCTTCTTCTCTGGACGTGCATAGCAACATTTAATCACTTGGCCCTTGAATAAACTCATTCTTTTCTCTTCTGTTTCCCTATACAACATGTTATAACTCAGGAAAAAACAAATCAGTGTTCTACTGAAGACAAAGACCAACTTTTTCAAATCAGGCTGTCAGAAATTAGGCTCCCAAATCATAACTGTCTGATATTTCAAGGGGCTGAGTATCTGGAGCTTCCAATGATTTCACCCAGCTTTGTGCATGCTCAGTTAGTACCCCTGAAAATCCGGAAGTTTTTGGGTGCTTATTTTAGGGCCCAGATTTGAAAATATAGGCCTAAATAGAAATTATCAGTTTATTTTTAGGGCTATCAATTAATCACAGCCAACTCACACAATTAACTCAAAAATTAATTGTGATTTAAAAAATTAATAGTAATTTTAATTGCACAGTTAAACAATAGAATACCAATTAAATTTTGTTAAACATTTTGGATATTTTCCTACATTTTCAAATATATTAATTTTAGTCCCAATGCAAAATACAAAATGTACACTGCTCACTTTACATTATTATTTATAATTACAAGTATTTGCACTATAAAAATAATAAATGAAAGAAATAGTATTTTTCAATTCACCTCACCTTTGCAACTTACGAAATGTAGATTTTTTTTGTTACATAATTACATTAAAAACAAAATCTTTTAAAGCTTTAGATCCTACAAGTCCACTCAGTCCTACTCTTTGTTCAGCCACGTGCTAAGGCATACAAGTTTGTTTACCTTAATGGGAAATAATGCTGCCCACTTCTTATTTACAATATTACCAGAAAGTGAGAACAGTGTTCACATAGGACTTTTGTGGCCGGCATTGCAAGGTATTCATGTGCCAGATATGCTAAGTGCTCATATGACCCTTCATGCTTCAGCCACCATTCCAGAGGGCATGCTTCCATGTTAAAAAAAATGTTAATTAAATTTGTGACTGAATTCCTTGGGGGCCCAAATCGACCGGTGGGGAGTGGGACTGACCCGGCCATATGCAGATTTCGGGGTGCTGCCCCTCTTTCCCCCCCCCAGGGATTCTATTGTGCCCCCCCACACACACACCCTCGAGTAGTTGTGAACTGGCTGACTGGTAGACACACTCATGCAGCCTGAGCACATTTACCAGCCAGGCAGTTCGAAACTACAAACTGATACATCTAGTGAAACACTGAGAATTTATTCATTTTTCATTTTTTTTATATGCATTTATATTTTTGGGCTGCAAAACAGTACTGAAAAGTACAGGTTCCAACTAAAGTAAAAAATTTGGAAAACCCTGATCTAGCCAGCTTTCTATCCATCTTAGAGTCCATTTCTCCAATCCATATTCCCTTAACTTGCTGGCAAGAATATTTTGGGTGACTGTATCAAAAGCTTTGCTAAGACTGGCACTGGGGGCTGTGGGAGGACCAGAAACAACTTATTTGAATATTCATCATTTGATTAATGAATATGCAAATATGCAAATGAATGTTACCAGTTCTCCAAAAGTTTGTGAATGGATTTACTGGTCCTCGCGTCAAAAAGCTTGGGAACCCCTGGTTTACAGTGCAAATATTTATAATAAAAAATATAAATGGCCTGATGAAATGCATGCTAGAATACACAAGGGCTGTGTCTAGACTGGCCAGTTTTTCTGGAAAATCAGCCGCTTTTCCGGAAAAACTTTCCAGCTGTCTACACTGGCCGCTTGAATTTCTGCAAAAGCACTGACTTCCTACTGTAAGAAATCAGTGCTTCTTGCGGAAATACTATGCTGCTCCTGTTCGGGCAAAAGTACCTTTTGCGAAAGCTTTTGCGCAAAAGGGCCAGTGTAGACAACTCACATTTGTTATGCGCAAAAAAGCCCCGATGGCTAAAATGGCGATCGGGGCTTTTTTGCGCAAAAGCGCATCTAGATTGGCACGGACACTTTTCCGCAAAAAGTGCTTTCCGGAAAATCATGCCAGTCTAGACGTAGCCAAGGAGTAACTACAACTGGGCTCAAAAAGGAATAAAAGAAGTTTATGGAGGATAGGTCCATCAACTGGTGTAAACTAATATGGTCAGGGGCATAACCCCTTGTTCTCAGTGTCCCTAAACCTCTGACTGCCAGAAGCTGGGACTGGACCACAGAGGACCGATTATGCTATAATTGCCCTGTTTGATTCATTCTCTCTGGCACTGGCTACTGTCAAAAACCAGATACTGAACTATATTGACCATTGGTCTGACCCAGCATGACCATTTTTATCCTAAGACTTGTACATAAGCAGTTCACCAATAGACATTTCCCACATATAGGAGGATGTAGATCTGACTCACCAGGCAAACAAATGTGAAGATTCTAATTTGGGGTGAAAGACTTGAAGTTCTTTTTAGCTAGAGAGGGAGAGAAAAAAAAAAGCTTTTATCCATATGCAAATACTGAGAGATTCTTGCCTTGGTGATTAATGATACTCTCATTTAGCCATTTTAGTTTCTATTCTTGCAGAGAGAAACTCCTGACTTTGGCTGATCTTTAGGTCCTCAGACAAAGTGTCTCAGCGGATATATGCCATTTTCTTCTTCTCTTCCTAGGTGGGTCCTATTTTAGGAATAAACAGAAGCGAATAGCTTTTCTTGTTTTTAAGGGCCAGAAGGAATTGGCAGTTATCAGTCAGTTGAGTCATATTTCTTCCATATATCTGTTACACATGTTCTGCATCACTCTTAGCTACCTTGCATTATTAGGATTATGATGAACTTCAAATGTTTTATAGTCTTCTACAGTTAGATGCTTTTATTTTTTAAAGTGAAAGACAAGGGGGAAGGTAGGATGTGGTGGTTAAATCAGGCGTTCACAGTGGATTGGGTGGACGGTCTTAGATCAGGCAGACCCATCTCTGTGTTCCCAAAAAACACCTCGATAGCTAACAGATTTCAAGACTGATTATTTTTAACAGTTTCAGTTTTAGTAATTAGTATTTTCTATAGCTGTATATTAATAAACTTGTTTACAGAGATGGTAAACGTGCAAAATTCAAGTTACAATAAGCCATAAGCAAAATTCAGCAGCTAAAATTCCTAAAATAGCTTTTTAGCCTTCTTGGCAGCATAGTGTTAACGTAGGAAATACATTTGTGCCATAAATTTTCGCTGCATGGTTTTCAAGTATTTTTCTCTCTCTTTGAAAGCATGTACAGATGTTTTATGGTTGTTGTATGAAAATGTTCCAGGGCCAGTACTGAAAATATGGGGTTAGAAAACTAACCTTGATGTGGATGGTGTGGTTTTTTTCCCTTCCACTGAGAGGAGGAACTGTGGTTTCCTAGGAATCTGGACTCATGGTTTCTCCTCTTGTTTCTGCTGCTGACAATGTGACCTTCAGGAATTCCCCTCTTCTATCTATGATGTAGTTTCTCCATCTTTAAAATTTAATCACCCAGTGTTTGTTGGATGGCTTATTTACTTTTTTTTCTAAGGCACTACTTATTTCATAACTGAAATATTACAGATTTTAAGTAAAATTATTATTCTGGAAAAACAGAAGACAAGCAAGAATTCAAACCACATTTAAAGTTCGCTCAAATGCAAAATCTTTGTTTTGAATAGCTATGTATCATAGCGTGACGGAGCATAGGTTCACCATATGCTGAACAATAAGCATCTAAACTTCCTTTCCTGACACTTGTTAGCATAAACAGAAATGTTTCTTATGTAGCTCAGAAGCTGTTTTTGTGGTACTTGGCTAGCTCAGAGGATTGCTAAAGAGAAACACCTTTAGGTCACTGGTTTGAACCTAGCTAGGTTTCTTAAGTGAGCGAAAGTAATTTCCAGACCATAGTGGCAAGTAGAAGGAAAAGGTCTTTAATCAACGAATTGAGTTATTTGGGACCACAGACTTGCCCCCCTTCTTCAGTTCCCCAGAACCTGCCACCTTTTCAAGAAGAGAGAGAACACTGAACAATTTTGCTGTATTCCAAAAGCATGACTGAACAGGACCATCAGACGTCAATCTATGTTTGGCATGTGACAGTTAAATATTGATTTAAAATTAATTTAACATTCTTATAGATAACTATAAGGACATAAGAACAGCTATACTAGGTCAGACCAAAGGTCCATCCAGCCTGGTATCCTGTCTTCTGACAGTGGCCAATGGTAGGTGCCCCAGAGGGAATGAATAAAACAGGTAACCATCAAGTGATCCCTCTCCTGTGACCCATTCCTACCCATCCTGGCTAATAGCAATTGATGGACCTATCCTCCATGAATTTATCTAGTTCTTTTTTGGACCCTGTTAAAAGTCCTGTTCTTCACAATATCATCTGGCAAGGAGTTCCACAGGCTGACTCTGCATTGCGTGAAGAAATACTTTCTTTTGTTTGTTTTAAACCTGCTACATATTCATTTCATTTGGTGACACCCCCTTGCTCTTGTGTTATGGGAGCAAGTAAATAATTTTCCTTATCTATTTTCTCCACACCAGGCATGATTTAATAGACCTCTATCATACCGTCCCTTAGGCTAGGTCTAGACTACACTCTTTGATCGGAAAAAGCTTTTTCTTTCGGCAGAGCCCTTATTCTTTCCGCAAAAAAAGCGGAAGATCAAACGCGTTTCCTGGACGCAGCAGAGTTTTTCCAGGATACCGACCACCAATCTAGACGTACCCCGTGTCTCCTCTCATCTTAGCTGAAAAGTCCCAGTTTTATTAAACTCTCCTCATATGGCACCCCTTCTAAGCCCTAATCATTTTGTTGCCCTTTTCTGAACTTTTTCCAATGCCAAGATACCGTTTTTGAAATGAGGTGACCACGTCTGCACACAGTATTCAAGAGGTGGGCATACTATGATTTTATAGAGAGGCAATAAGCTATCTCTATCCCTTTTTTAATTATTCCCAATATGCTGTTTCTTTTTTGGCTGCTGCTGCTCATTGAGTGGATTTTCCAAAGAACTATCCACAGTGACTCCAAGATCTCCCTCTTGAATGGTAATTTAGTCCCCGTCATTTTGGACATATAGTTGGGATTATGTTTTCCAATGTGCAATATTTTGCATTTATCGGCATTAAAATTTGTCTGCCATTTTGTTGCCCAGTCACCTTGTTTTGTGAGATCCTGTTGAAGCTCTTCACAGTCTGCTTTGGACTTAATTATCTTGAGCAGTTTAATGTCATCTGCAAATTTTGCCATCTCACTGTTTATCCCATTCTCCACATTATTTATGAATATGTTGAATAGGGTTGGTTCTAGTACAGACCTCTGTGGGATACTGCTAGTAACCTCTCTCCGTTCTGAAAACTGACCATTTATTCCTGTCCTATGTTTCCGATCTTTAAATTAATTATTTATCCATGAGAGGACCTTCCGTCTTGTATGTGACAGTATCTTCAGAATCCTCTTTGTCCTTTGTGAGGATAGAAATGAAATAAATAGCCAGCACAATATTCTTTCTCCCCCAGTGCCACAAATAATCTGTCAGGGTGATTTGTCAAAAGGACTGTTGCAGACTCTGCTTGTGTAGAAGACTGTACAGCATCCCCTAAAAAGTCTAAAAATCCTGCATCCAGAACATGTGGAATTGCCTTTAAAAACTACATTTCATGTATTGGTGTTGATCTATGAAAGGTGCTGGATTCTCTTGCTCCCACCACAAAAGCCCTAGCATCTTAATCCATTTCTTGCTTAGATTAAAAAAACAAAACAAACTGGGGGTAGTGCTCAACAGATATTCCTTCACAATTTTCATTGCATGGAGCAAAAAATACGAGTCTGCCAAGCTGCCTATTGAACTATCTGCCGCAGCTTAACTGCAGCAAGAAAACAGTAATCCTATTGTGCTCCCACAGCAGTCTCCTGGGAAGCAGAAGGCATTGAAATTACTGAGCAGTTGTCTTGTCCCTTCCTCACCTGCCTTTGTAGCTGTAAATATAGTGTCTGCCTATAAATAACAGTTTGCTGCACCTTTAAGCACGTTCCTTAACAAGAGGAGGTGATTTACTGAAGTGATAAGCTGTAACTAATACTAGGGTATCATAATAGGTAAATAGATTAGCACAGTGCTTCCCTGTATTTTGCTTTCTAGGGAGTCCACAGCCTCATTCATTCATTGTAGATGCTCACTACAGCACTTTGCAATACATCCAGTTAAATCAGTTCCAGGATTGCAGCTATTGATGGTTGTGTGTATAAAGCTAATGAAATGCATTATTGAATCTATCGGGTAACATTGATTGTTTAGGATCTCTGCCTTTCTCCTGCAACACCTCTCCCCAATAAAAGGATTGTCATGAGTAGAGTCCATGATCAGGTATTTTGAAAGGCATCATCATTTTGGTTTTGGGGGAATTGAAAGATCAGAAGTGTGATTGGATCGTTTGCAGCCAGGTGTGTAAAAACTAAATATGTAGTCTAGGCTTCGTCCATGGATTCCCCATCTTGGTACTTTTATGTTCTTAAGAATCTGGCTTTTTCTGGAGCCTGGATCTTTAATTAGCCTAATCATTATTTTTTGTTCTGCCCCTCATGGCAGGTGATGATGTATACGTCAGTCCTGAGCATCCCTGGTCTGTGTAACAGGTGATTGCTCTGGGCTGAGCCAGGACCGCCAAACTCATTCGTCTAATCAAATTGCACAGTTCTTTTGACCTTTGATCGCTGATATGGAGGCATGAATTTTACCCAGGAGCCCTTCCTGTTGTGCTAGTCCTCAAATAATTTCTCTGTCCTTTCCAAACAAGCTGCTTCCTTTTTCCATTTCTCCTGCACCACCTAGTGACTGGTTAGGCATGGGATGGTCTTGTATAATGAATTCCCTTTTTTGGTCAAGCCAGCACATACATAGCACTTGCAATGATTGTACTACATCCTGGGGTCCACATTGCACCTTCTAAAATCAAAGCTATCAGTATTTTATTAAAATACTTTTGAAAAACATGTTTTTAATTTCAAGACAACGATTGATCACTTATCATTATGAAGTACTTTGATCAAACACACTGCAGCAGGTTTGGTGGAAAGTGTTACAGTGTGTGGGCAACACATCAGTATAATGGGGACCTTACAAGATAAAGAGCAAATCTAAGGAGTGTTGCCAACTCTCAAGCTTTTTTTTATCGTAAGCCTTCAGATATTTTGTTTTTTTCTTTAAAGCCCCAGACTCTAGACCAAGGGTGGACAAAATATGGCCCACAGTTTTGATCCAGGCTGCCAAGCCACCAGATCTGGCTTATGGCCTTGGCTGCTTTGTCCCCACATGCCATTCTAAGCAATCAGCTGTGGGGGCCATGTGCCTCTGAGTGCTGCCGTGAGTGGAGAAGAAGAGGCTTTGAACGCTGCCCTGCCCCCAGCATAATCTCTTAGCTCCTATTGGCTGGAAACGGATCATTGGGAACTGCCTTTTTGCAGTGCTTAAAGTACTCCTCACCCCAGGTCTCGCAACGCTCCAAGCAGCACATGGTCCCCAGTGCTCTGAGCAGCATGAGGGGTCGTGAAAGGCAAGGAGCCTGTGTGAGGGGCCTGCTGGTGGCTAGGAGCTGCTTAGGTAAGCATCTCCCAGCCAGAGCCTGCCTCTGGCACTCCAGCCCCTCCTTCTGCACTCCTATCCCACCCCCACTTAACCCAAATCCTCTATACCCCTGCTCCTCACCCAAACTGCCTCCTCCCACTTAACCCAAATCCTCTACACCCCTGCTCCTCACCCAAACTGCCTCCCCACAGCCCCTCTTGCATGCTAGTTCCTTACCCCGAGTCCCCTTGTGTGGCCCTTGACCCCTTATCAATTCTTGGAGTGGCCCCTCATCAAACATTATTGCCCATCCCTGCTCCAGACTCAAGTGATTACACAAAAATCTCAGTGTTTTAATAAGTTTGTAGCCCAAATGGCTGGAGAGAGAGAGAGAAGCTTGAAAATATTGTTCAAGTGTCTCCTAAAAGTCAGAAGGAAATTGAAAAGAACACAATATGAGTGTGTGTGTGTGTGTGTGTGTGTGTGTGTATATTTATTTAATATTTTTAAATCATTCTGCATCCTTTTTAGAAGCTTGACTCATTTAAATATGAGGACTTGGTAATACTGGATCTTAAACATGCTGTACATTATTATATAATGAAAGTGACAGGATGTGATTTTGGAGTTGAGAGGATATCGATCAAACTCTCCTTAACTATGCACATGAGATGACATCACTTGACACTAAATGTGTAAACCCCTCGGAAGAAAGAAAGACAGTTGGGCTAGATTGCAGGAGCTGACACACTGAAATTACCTTTCCTAACTTTCAAATATGTACTTTTCTCACTTTTTCAATAACTCCTTGGTTGTTTGTCAGTGAAACCACTCCCTTCCCCCCCCCCTCCTTTTTTTTAACTGATTCTATTTTTACAAACACACAGACATGTGGCACTGGGGTTTGCTATTGGTTTCTTCATAGGATCCAATTTAGCAAGCTCACATTAATTTGTTTTAACAAAAATACTGAAACCCTTAAATTAAAATAATCGTGTGATGAATGGCACCGGTTTTACAAAAGAAAAGTAGGTCAAATATTGTGCCAATCAAGTGTTCCTTAAAATAAAATAATCGTGTGATGAATGACACCGGTTTTACAAAAGAAAAATAGGTCAAATATTGTGCCAATCAAGTGTGAACCAAAAGAAATGGGGAATACACTAAAACTGTCAGCCAGTCGTTAGCTTCTTTGGTACAAACTGGCAAAGCCTCTGCCTATTGGGGGGGGAAATAACAATTCTATATACTTTATATCTGGGTTGGGGAGAGAGGTATGGAGGAACAAAGAATTTCTTTTCTATCCTGACTATTGGGGGGGGAATAACAATTCTATATACTTGATATCTGGGTTGGGGAGAGAGGTATGGAGGAACAAAGAATTTCTTTTCTATCCTTGCAAAAGTTGACTTATTTACACAAGCAGGCTGCATTTATTATATTCAAGGGGCATTGTGACAGTGCAGCACAGGAACACAATTTAATTGCAGCAGAAAGAGGCTGTGAGAGACGCTGCGGATGGTCCATCTGCAAAGTCTGCTCTTGTATTACAAGGAGGAGGGGTTAGAGGGTGGGGGGAGTGAAAAAGCAGCTGCTGTCTGTTCTCTGAGAGGGAGAGGCTGACTGTTGGCACCATCTGTAGCTGTCCTTTGTGCTTGCTGCTTTATCTGTTCATTATAGTGATACTGAATTTCTCGTGCTTCGCGTTTAAATGAGTTGAGATGTGTCTAATACTGTCAGCATAAAAAACAGAACCGAAGTACACTAAAGATGAATAGTGTAATCTGTAAATTCATATTCGGCTTCCTTGAATAGACACAGGAAGTAATGCTCTTCAGAACCCAGCTGTAGCAGGGGCTTGTGTAGCACATTTTATCTCACCATGTTAAGTGCAAACCAGTAAGGGGGCTGGTGGAGGGTTGCAGCATTTCAGACAGGCAATAGCAGAAATACTGAGGGCATAGCTATGCTGCAGTATAAGCTCAGGATTTGAACTCAGGCTCAAGCCCCTTCAGTTTGCACACAAATTGCACTAACCCAGTGCTCAGACCCCTGTTTGAAGGACCCAGTGGTGTTGGAGGGACTTACCTGGGTTCAAGACCAAGTGTTTTGTAGACATAAGCCTACGGGACTCACAATCTGGAAGTTCATCAAAGGAATTGCATCAGCTGACTGACTTTGTTGTCTGGACAGTAAAGTTTAGTGGGCACTCAGGTTTTCCCACACTGCACCACGAACACAGAGCTAGAGCAGACATATTTTGGGGGTGTTAGGGAATCTGGATACAGGTTATTAGACTCAGACCTGCATAAAACAGTGTAGGTCCTGCAGTCTCAGATTGGGACCCAAGGGCTCTGCAATTTTTAACCTCAGTTTACAAATGAATGTAGATGCCCAAGTCCTTGGTTGGGGTGGGCAATAATTTTTACTGGGGGACCATTCCAAGAATTTGGTAAGTGGTCAAGGGCTGCACTCTTCCATGATATTAATGAAGGAGGAATGGGGGCTGGGATGGAGGTTGGGTGCAGAAGGGAGCTTGGGGTAGGGTTTTGGGGCACAGGGGAGGTGTGGGGTCTGGGACAGCGTTTGGGTGAAGGAGGGGATTTGGGTGTGGGAGGGGGATGCAGGATCTGGGATGGGGTACAGGTATGGGTGCAGGAGTGGATTCTGGGTCTGGGAGAGGGTTGTGACCTAGGGCAGGGGATTGGGCTGCAGGATCTGGGAGGGAGGTTGTGTTCCATGGGGTAGCGGTGCGGGGGAGGAGAGGGTTTGGCTTACATGGGGTACAGTTATAGGAGTTGTGGGGAGGTTGGGGATGGGGAGCCAGAGGCAGGCTCTGGCCAGGAGGCACTAACTTAAGCAGCTCCTGGCCAGCAGCCCAGCAGGTCCCTCAAGCAGGCTCCCTGCCTGCCCTACCCCTGCACGGCGCTCAGAGCTGCCAGCTGCAGGAGCCATGTGCTGCTCTGAGCGCTGCAGGCTCCCGGTGGGAGTACTTCACATGCTGCCTGCTCTGCAAACAGGCAGCACCTATTGGCTAGAACCCAGCCAATGGGAGCTGTCTCTCCCGCCCTCTTTCGCCATCCCCACCCCCCAGCTCCTGGTGGCACTCTCAGAGGCACAGCTGTGAGCGCTGAGTGGCATGAGGGGGTGGGGCAGACAGAGAGCCTGCCCAAAGCTCCCGCTGGGCCATGGGCTGAATCCAGCAGGTTGTCAGGGTGGGTTTTGCCCATCCCTGTCGTACGTTAAGAGACTCAGTTCTGCTAATTAGTTCTGTTACCCAGGGCTTACATTGTAGTGGTGGCACATCCAGGGGGGCTTTCTCCACAGCTTGGGTGGAGAGAGCAGCGACTGACATGTTTTGAGACAGTCCTGAACCAGTCTGTTTTCATTCAGTGCACAAACACATTATTATTATACATGGTACATGACTGGGAAATGTCCCAGGAGAGAAGAGGTTAAACCTCTCAGTAATGAGCAGGGAGATGGGGATTGAGTACATTTCTTATGTTATACCTTCAAATTCTCACTTCCCAAAAATGTGAGTCATCTCCTGATAATTTGTAGCATGTAACTGTCTGCCTTATCTGGAAAGCCTCACCATGCTCTGACATTTACATTTCACCTTTACAAATGTGTGCATTTGATATTAGTAATAATAATAACTCATTAATAGCCTACCTTCCTCCCTGCTCCATGCGAAGTTATCTCATTTCCATTGCAAATTATTTTGCCGGGAGTTAACTCTGCTACTTTCAAAGCAGGTACAAGCTTTTGTTTGCAGATTCATGTCCTCAAATCCATTAGGCGGCTGCTTTTTATCTTTATTTGTCAAGCGCTTATATGTGTGCACTAGGAACAGCTCCCTCCTCACATCAAAGCCACGTTTAAGATGGACGGTTTCCATTCGACACCATAGTAATTACACTCAGCTGTGGAAGTGCTCAGCAGCCGCTATTATTCTGACATGGCTGCATTTACAGCTCGGCAGAACACTTTGTTCATTTTTCTCAGAACTCAAGTAGCCATAGTGTGCATGAGGAAACTATGTTAGGCAGTGATTTTTATCTCCAGGCAGCATGAAAAGGCAGGGCGGGGGGACCCTTTGTCACTGGTACATAAATAATGACATGCCAGGGATAAAAGGTGAGTATAATTTGATCAAATGCTCGTTGACAGATTCCTTGGCTAATAGAGAAGTAGCTTAGAACGACACTCGTTGCTAGACCGTTTCGGCACGGGGCTTAACGAGAATGCTTTCTGTAGGCTAGATACGATGCTAACAATTTCAGAGTAACCATATTTAGTTATATAAAGGAACAGTAACCCCTTCTTGTCACAGAAAGTGTCTCTAAATAACCCTTCGCACCATCATTTACTTTGCATGTGCTAACTACAGTGAAATTACTACATCCTCAACATCCTGATGTGTGTTTATTTTGTTTTAATATTGTGTTTATTAAATATTTCTCAGCTTTGGCCAGTTGATTTTTTTTAAACATTTCTGGTGCTTTTATATAGCGGCATATTTTTGTGTTCCTGTCAAAATTCTTTGTTTTAATAGTATTGCGTTTATTAAATATTTCTCAGGTTTGGCCAGTTGATTTTTTTAAACATTTCTTATGCTTTTATATAGAGGCATATTTTTGTGTTCCTGTCAAAATTACAGATTAACTCAGCTACCCCTCTGAGACTCTTCACAGTGTACCTTTCCATTTGCATCCTTTAAAACTGGTCAGTTGCACCAGTGTTTCTCAACCGGTGGTACGAGTACCCTTGGAGTACTTGAGAGAAGTCGGGAAGGGGGGGGGAAGGGTACATCTACACAACTGACATTTGGAGAAAACTGAATTTTTGTTTTATAGCACTTTATGGAAGGGTACATCAACACAACTGACATTTGGAGAAAACTGAATTTTTGTTTTATAGCACTTTATCATTTTTGTACTTTCTACACCCAAAAATTTCATAGCCTGCCCCACTACGATTAAGTTGTTTAAACAAACGTGCTGCAATGGTAGAAAACAATTCTGTGTGTCTGAAAACTGTAGGTCCTGGGGGTACTTTTTTTTTTTTTTTAAACGGGATACTTTATAAAAAATAAAAGGTGGAGAAACACTGAGTTACACCACTCTATGATTATGTAATGGAAGAAGGTGGGGTCCCTTTTAAAGAATGGGTAATTACAGTATCATGCCATTACAAAAAGCATACAAGTGAAGCTAATCCTCCATGTTTTAGCCTTCTCCTCACCTGTGCCTTTTACATTGGCCATCCTGACATAATGTTATAACCTCATCTACTTTTGTCCATTTATACAGCATATTTGCTATAGACAAGCCTTCCGGTTTTTGCCCACTAGCACAAATTGTTAGGGAACACAACACTTTAGGGAAACTTCTACATTTAAAAACCTTTTAATTGACATTCAAGACTAGGTTTTGGCTTGCTTGGTTTTTTTTTTTTATCAGCATGAAGATTTGTAAAACTCTTTTAAGGAAGAAGAAAAAGAAGACCCTCCTATTTGAAAAAGTTATTTGTATCAACCACATAATTTTGCATGTAGTCTGAATTATATCTTTTTGGAACGTCTTGCTTACCACTTAGCACCAAAGAGCTGTAATTACATTTCACAACAGTTATCACATTGGAATTTAAAAGCCAGCTCCTTGGTTTAATCAAATTTCTGTGAAGACATATTGGATAAAATCCTGCTTCCTTGCAATCAATGAAGCGGAGATTGTGTCCACTCGCATTTCTAAAGGCCCTCTTTATCTGAATGTGTGTGATTTTTGTAACATAGGCCAGAATTTTTACATATGGGTAGCTAAATAAGAATCATAATTTTCAAATATGGTATCCCATCCCTTTATTTCTGTGGCAGTTGCAGATATTTAGAGCCTCTGAAAGTCAGGCCTAAGATGCCTAAAGTCCCAATTTATCAAAGTGTGTAAATGTGTGCCCATCTGGGAGTCTATGAGTAGTCCCATTGATCAAAAGATTATTCACATACTTGAAGTTTGGCATATGATTAGGTGTTTTTCAGGATTAGGTCCCAAATAAGGATTCAGGTGTCTTAACTTCAAGCACACAAATTTGAATACTGTAGACATTTTGTTTTGTAAACTCATTCACATTTGGAGGAGATAATCCAGTGTTGCAAACTAAATGCAGTGCCTGATTATTCTTTTGTAATCTGTCTTCTGCAATAAAATTTCCTGCAAAGAAATTGCATTATTGTCTATTCTGTGGAATGGTACTATTTTAACTATGTAAGGAGGCAAAGAAAAATCATCACAATAAATCATATATATGACAGGCTAAATTAAGAAATGCTTTTTGTACAGATTATGAAGATTATCTATAATAAACTGAACCTCAAATAGAATAATTAGCAGAACTAAAACTATCATTCACTGCCGATTAATGTTAGAAATGGAGGGGCATGTGGGAGATGGTAGGGAAAAAAACTTTTCCTGCTCCCCTCTCTTCTTATCTACCAATGATATCATCCCTGTTTCTTCCCATAGTTTTGCCCCATTCAGTGTGACAACATATTCTTTATATGATGGTCGTGGTTCATGGGACAAGTTTTCAGAACTGGACTGTGCCCATTCAATTAGTGACTAATGTGGTTAAAAGTCCTGCAGATTAACACAGCTGCACTCTTCATTGAGTTGTACACCTTCATTTTGTTCTGTTTGCACAGCGCTGCTTTCATCGTGGTGTGAGGAGCTGGGACGGCTCTTGCTGCTTCGTCACCAGAAAAGCCGGCAGAACGATCCTCCCGGGAAGCTACCCATGCAACCCCCCATGAACTCTATGAGCTCCATGAAACCCACGCTTTCTCACAGGTGAGTCACACAAGTCTGCTCTTATGGGAGTAGATGCATATACAAATTCATTACAACAAGAAACCTATTCACTGAAATGCTTCTTACTGCCCTGACAAATTGGAAGGAACTGGTTGAGGATTTGAAAGTGGAAGGCAGCTTGGGTGAATGTGATTGCGAGATGGTAGAGTTCATGAGTCTCAGGACTGGTAGGAGGGATGACAGCAAAATAAAGATAATGGCTTTCAAGAAGGCAGACTTGAGCTAGTTCAGGAAGTCGGTAGGTAAGATCCCATGGGATGCAAGTGTAATAGGAAAAATAGTCTGAGAGAATTGGCTGCTTTTCAAAGAAACATTATTGAGGGCACAAGTGCAAACTATCCCATTGCATAGGAAAAATAGGAAGTATGGCCAGAGGTCACCCTGTCTTAACCAGGAGATCTTCAGTCATTTGCAACTCAAAGAAGAGTCCTACAAAAAAGTGGGAACTAGGTCTGATTTCAATGGATGAATGCAAACAAAGAACACAGGCATATACGGACAAACTTAGAAAGGCGGAGACAGCAAACAAGATTGAAGTAGCAAGAGATATAAAGAATAACAAGAAAATATTCTGCAAATGTTATCTTGCAAATATAAAATATGGCAATGGCAGAAGTGCTAAATGCCTTTTTTATTTCAGTTTTCACCAAAAAGGTAATGGAGATCAGATTTCTAGCATAGTAAACACCTGAAAATGCAGTAGGGGGTA